GCAATAGTTTAGGTAGACGATCAAGCAGAATCAAAGAAAAGTAGCTCATGAAGTGTGGCAGTTAACCATCAGGCAGTTCAAACGTCGAGAACAATATTTGGAAAACAGCAACATAGTAGGGGATGTTAAAGTAAGCTTCAATCTACTTGGGCACCTTTGGTGTTTAAAGAAGCAGAAATTTATGGCATCGCTTAGCACTGTCCTGGCGGCCTATCGTTCGGAGGGTAATGCATACACTGAATCAGGAGGCTGATGGATTTTATCATTCCATATAAAGGATTATTTTCCCAAGCAACAATCCTCAGCGGCCAAACCTCACTGCTCTACCTCCTCAAGTTCTACTATTTTTAGCAAACTGAAGAAGTGATGAGAGACAAGCATTAAAACGTAGATCTACCTCAAGATTCACTTTCAGCTCTTTATTTTCATTCACAAGAGAGTGTCGCAACTCTTCGGATTTGGCAAGCTGACGAGAAATCTTGATGCAGTGCTCCAAGCGCCTTGAAGCCAAAGTGGGGAGCAATGGCATGCCATCACTTTCAAACAAGTTAGTGAGGTAAAGCAATGTATTTTGGCCCTCTCCCTTCTCCATCACCTCAGTGGATGTGAAGCGCTCGATAGCTCGGTCCAACTCTGCCTCAACCTGTTCGTATGATGCCAATTTTTGCGAGGCCACCATTAGCTTCGCCTCCAATTGGGACACTTCCGCCTTTCGTGCGGCGTCCAGCTAGATTGGAAAAGGGGACAAGTTACCCAGGAAATCAAGATGTCTGGTTAAGCCTAGTGTTGCGAGCAGAAGCACTCGCAAAATTAACGGTTTCTGCAAAAAAATAATTAAAAACAGTTCGGAGTTAACACGCCAACCGTGGCAAATTTCCCATTAAATTCTATTTCGTCAAATGCATGTCATTGCACTAATTAAGATGTTACCTCTTTCCCATGCTAAGTATCAATAAGGGTATAAGGAAACTATTCAGCGAAAAAAAATTTTCGCAATCTATATTTACCCACCAAAACAGTCAAAATGGAGACACCCTGTTTGAAAACAAGCCGTTTTAAGGCAGTACAAGTCAAACCCATGCAGCCGTTATGCTTTCAAACATTAAGCACCTGTACCTTATTTTTGAGTGAATATCAAAGCAACAGTGTGACAAAGTGAGCTTTTCAATGTGGAACCTCATAAACAGCCTTCGAAGCAGCCTCAAACTTTTCAGTCAGCCGCTCCACTTGACGAAGAGCCTGGTTACGAGCAGCACAGGCGGCATTCAGTTGTATTTCCAAAGTGACAATATGTGCCTTTGCGAGAATGTCGGAATGTTGACGGGATAGACGGACCTCGCAATCAGGTGTAGCATAGGGACGGAGCATTTCCTCCCAGGAATACATCTTTCCCACTTCAGAACTTCGCAATCGCTGATTCAATGCATCCTGTTGCCAGCGGAGGTGGCCCGAATCATTCTGATCCTCATCTGTTTTGCTTTCAAGACAAGGTTCGAAGTCCTAGTACAACAAGAGTACAACTACAGCATCAGCCAGGCTGTCTGCTCACTTCAACCATAATAAGTCCCGCTTTCATTTGTAGACATCATAATGCCGTAATACTATGCGTAACTTATCTGAAAAATACATCTTAAATTAAAATTTACTGATCAAAACAGATTTTTAATTTTTAACCGATGTTGACCACAACAAACACACTCGATGCCCATATAGAATTCACATACATCGTTTCACTATAGGCTTTTGTGAAGGGTTATACCAGATGTTTGATCCTTCAAACCTTTGGCCGATGGAGGGGCGATGAAGTTAGATGTAATACACTGGCCTTTACAATAGCAAAGTTCTTCTATTAATTGTAGATTTAAGATAACTCAGTAGTTTTCTGTCATTTGTTGAAATATCACCCATTCCTATTCGTTTCCGAACGTCGGTGAAGTGGAAAAGAGAATCTTACAAATGTTACTTCCAAATAGCTCTAATTTGCAGGAACAAGACAAAGGGTAATATGAAGTGCAAAGCACGTACATATAACCGATCAGCAAGACCCGTGAGAGGCCCATTTCTGTGTGAATTTTGAAATGGACAAAATTCGTCTTGCGAGGCTTGTTGGGTTTCTTCTGTTGCTTTGGTTCTTGCCAATAGTGCTGAGCCCTCATCTTCAACTTTCGTCAATCCCTCTTTCGATTCCTTATTTACATGTTCAGATGCTTCAAACTTTTCGCTTAACGCCGAAGACTGCAAAGAGTAAAATTTTTTGGAAAGGAAAGATCTACATGCAGTTTTGGGCTAGGAACACTTCTAAAACAGCCCCCACCTATGATTAGTACTTGCTGAAGTTGTTAGGCCATAGAACGCAGAACAATACCCAGTTAAAGCGACTAGCAAAAAACCTAGAAACTGCTTAAAGCATATATTTGCTCGATATTACCTGTTTATTGAGAAGTGTCTGCGTTCCGGATGCTGGACTTCCAGCTGAGATAAGAAATGAGTCTTCCGTTTGCGAAGCTACATTCTTCGTGGCATGAAGGATCCTGATTTTGTCCG